TTACACATAGTCTATGTGTAAAAAGCATAAACACATATCTTTCTATTCAGTGTATGCTTCTCTTACATTAAACTCATTAACTTTTTATAGGTGAAATGATAGCACTGACCCAGTGCGAGAGGACATCTTAATCTACATGGCCATATTTCCTTTCAAGAGCATTGATATAACTTTCTGCAGTTGATGTTATACAGACAATTTACAGAGAACTGACTTTTTTCAACAGTATTTAAGAGCTCTCAATAAATATCCTAAAAACGTGTCCACTAAGCCATATCTATTATCTATTCTGAAAATAGATACATGGGCCCACTCTAAACTGGTAATTGACTTTGACTTGACGCTATTTGAGGAGAGAGAACTCTTAAGTGGCCGAAGAATCTGAGATCATTTAATTCTACTTGGGTTTTGACATAATATTTCAGCATTATCCGTAATTCGTAATGTAAGAGAAGCATACACTGAATAGAAAGATATGTGTTTATGCTTTTTACACATAGACTATGTGTAACGAAAGATGAAAAGAGCAACAGGACATGTCCTGTTTTCTCTCAACCTGTTAATAAATACAACTTTATTGTGTTGTATAATTCCACAGCAAGCACTATGTTCTGACTTATATAACTCTTTGTATAAACTTTTGTCTCTCCTGATGTTTTAGTCCTCCAAAAATTACAACTACTGCTTTTTATTTATACAAGTTAAAAACATTTTTTTTGTTCAGTGATGATGAGGTCAGTAAAAAGCAGCTTGATATAATGTTGTTATTACGACGACTACTTGGATAATATCTCTTGAACATTATCGCTATTAATCAATACATCGATGACATCCGTCTTTTCAAAGTTCTCGTTTTGTGAAGTCTGGTACGGGAGTTGGGAACATTTCATGTGCACAGAAACACATAATTCGTCTAGTAAATTTGCAGTATCAACACCTTCTAATGCGAATGTTTCAAATAATAGTTGACCCATATGTTTGACTTTGAGGGATTCAATTTTATCGTCGTCACCTAATACATAGAAAAAATAAATGATAAAGTAGAATGCTAACTGTATCATAGATGACCATACTTATTATTACA